ATCCGCTACTAAGGAAAACGTGACTCTCACATGTCACGCAAGTGGTCTTCCTGAACCGACTTTCACATGGATAACCCCTGATGGAACTCTAGTTAACGCCACAGCACCGGTTCGCAAGGTCGCGGAAAAACTTGACGACGACAGTGAAGTATTTACTGGGAAAGAGCTCCAAGAGGATGGCTCCCTTTTAGTTTACTACACTCGTGTCAATGACCAAGGCGTCTATAAGTGTGTCGCGACCAACGTTTTGGGACAAGCAGTAGGAAATGTCAGTCTGAGCGTAAGAGAAGGTAAAGTTCTCTTTTGTTTGCGTCTTTGGGGACCGAAACGTATAATGTGACCAATTTAACTTTTATACTTGGGCAATAATATGTATATATAAATCCATTCACCATTGGCACATCTCCCATAATACACCATGTTTGCCCCCCAAACTTTTGTTTATATTTCTCCTGGGTATTACATTTCAGTCGTCTCAAGAAAAATTGAAGACAATGGTTATGCAAAATTTGGGGGGGCAACCAAGGTGTATTGTTGAGCGTTGTCACTCACGTGGCCAGTATCTATGCAAATTTATGGGAACGTAAGAAAGCGTTTACATAAGAAAAGAGGTCAACTCCCACAGGACTGGTTTGCAACACCAACATGGCCGCCGTGTTATTGTTTTGGAACACCGATATGGCCGTCGTGATGGAAATTTTTTGCCAACAGTGCGTGCTCTTATTGGTTACTTCGAGTTCACATGACATCTAACAGTGACGCTGTTTCCCGCCAAAATCTCTGAGCTGGCAACATTGCAAAATCTATGCTGTCAGAGGGTAACAGCTGTTACCCGTGAATGTTGACCGCTCGCGAGATTTATTTTCATAAATTTGTACACGAAGAAGTTATTCTTCGTGGGCTGTATAACAAATCATTCTAAGACCTCGGAATATGTACATGATAATGCATGATTCTATTATGTCTCAAATGAAATAATTCTTAAACACATACGAAGAATTATATCGAACACGAGAAACAGCTTTCCATTTCTCATCAAACACATAAAAGAGAAACATCGAACAAACACGTCGTCTGGTAAAATTTTCTGAAGTATTTTTCACTCTGAGAAATAATGTTTATTTCACCATTTTATCTCCAGACATTGTGGAAGTAAGTGCTGTCGTTACTCTTGAAGAAAAAGTATTTGATGAGGAACTGGAGAATAAGACTTCTCCCAAATATCAAGAACTGGAGAGAAACGTCAAACAAGAGGTGAAGAATTGAAAACTACTTTATTTCTTAGTGTCGCTCCATGTGAGGTATAATCCAAGACAGCCTTGTATTCTGGATACCACGTTGTGGATTCTGGACTATAGGTAGTGGATTCCGGATTATAGGTAGTGGATTCCGGATTATAGTAGTGGATTCCGGATTATAGCTAGTGGATTCCGGACTCCGGACTATAGGTAGTGGATTCCAGACTATTGGTAGTGGATTCCGGATTATAGGTAGTGGATTCCGGACTATAGGTAGTTGAATCCGGACTATATGTAGTGGATTCCAGATTCCTGGTAAGTGGAACTGGTAAGTGGAACTTGGACTTGGACTTTGCAGGATTGTGAAATCCTGATTACTTTACAGGATGGGGACTCAGTTACCTGTATTCAAGCCTCTTTTTACTGTACTGTACGGTAATTACCTTTGGTGTATTTGTTTCTTTAGTAAGTTGTTCTCTTTCTTTGCAGCTCACCGTTTTGTTTCAAGATATTAAAGGATTTCAAAGAGTTGACATCCTTGGCTTTTAGTAAGTAAATCTGATTGGTGTCTTTTAGATTTAACACTGACGTACAACGTGGGAGGGGGGTGGCGCACAAGGGGCGGGGAAAGGTTGTCTTCCACCCATCCCCCCCCCCAACCCATCCTGCTGCCCTATGGACCTGTGACGTCATTCAAAATGGCCGCCAACTTGAAATTGATTGCCATCTTAGAAAAAGGTTAAAAACCCATATTCAGTAAAATAAAGTAGAATATAAAAGTATTTTTCTTGCTTAAGTTTTATAATCTTCCAAAAGTTAACATTTTGCTGTTGTTGCTACTACTAAAAAGGCAA